TTTTGCACGTCTGGATTACGATCCCAGTGTTGTACGTCAGGCATCAAGCATGGTGAGTGTCGAACTTGCTCAAAGAAAACATGCTGAAGAACATGGTGATCAATCGGTGCGGTGATTCCGCCCAGGAGTCCTTCCCATTTATCAAGGAATTTCTCAAGCTGAGGCTCGCCAGACCCGGCAGCTCTGCCGAGGGATAGGCGAAGAAGTTCATTCGTACGGATAGACTGGCTCCCGACTTCATCGGGACGAAGGTATTCAATGAGACAGAACAGGATCTGGCGGCTTTTCAGCCTCGTCCCCCTTTTTACCTGAGCCTCTTCAGTCAGCCTGCTGATCTTGGCAACAATAGGTTTCGATGTGATGCACTTTCTCAGTGCAGCATTGAACTTATTGTCAAGGATCGGGTAGAGGCACTCCCCATCAAGTTCCTCTATTGTGCTGGCGTTCTCGACACTCATGACCCAAGACATGGCATATGGCGAGTCATAGCTGAATGCGTTGCTCACGATTTCTCTCGTGGAAATGATCCAGTCTCGCAACTCATGCGGTGCGGGCTCTTTTTCGAGCTCTATGTTGGCGCACTTGTTCGCCTCAGATGGCAACGAAGTTAAGGGAGGTCGAGTAGCCTGCCCAAAAACATGGGGAGGTAAAACGCCGTCTCTGCCAATGGATATGGCACACAGAGAGCAACTCCCGGACGATGGCGGGCAGCACGCGGCGCATAGAGAAGTGCGGCACAACGAACAAGTTTGGAAACATGGAGGCGTCCCGGGGATGCTGGTCTTGACATTTATGTTGCACCGAGGGCAGACTCTCTCCTCAGCGGAAGATCGGCGAATATCGGGAGCTCCAATACCGCCGACGCCACCAACGCCATGCACACCCTTACCGAGTCCTGGTGGAAGAGAAAAACCAGTTGGCCCGCCAGAGTTATCCTGTGTTCCGTGGTGAGGCTGTGGATTCTGCTGATTTGTCACAGCAGCGTCAGGCCCGTATCTCCCGCGAATGACTCCCTGAGACGTTCCATGCTCAACCTGACCGGTGAAGATTCCCCCTGTAGGGGAACATCCGGGGTACGTGTTGATGGTCCCCCTCGGAACTGCTCGTCCGACCACGGGCGAAGACATTGCCCTTGGTGGCATTGGCCCGGCAGCTCCGGCGTGGGAACAAAAACCAGAATTTCCTTGGTGCGGTTCAGGACTCCGATGTGACGGATCTCCACGTGATGGCCCGGATCCAGGATCAGGAGCAGTGCCATCCCGCTGATTTTGATCAGGAATGCAATCAGGTCCTCCAGGCCCCGCACTGGGGCCGCGATGTTTAGTTTTCCCGTCGGGATCAGCTCTCAGACAACCGAGGCAGATAGGTCGAACACTCGACCCAAAACGACGCACATCGTCAGGCGAAGCGATGTGTTGATCGCAGTACTCGTCCTTGCATATGAGACACCTCACAAGTCCGTGTCTCCCCCCTCTTCCTCTGCATGCGCGGCATCTAGGAAACTGATCGCTGCACTTGAAACACGAGTTACAATCATGGTCAAAGCAGTCCTCGCAGACTGACTTGCCGCAACTTCGGCATGGATAGCGAGGTTCCCGATGCTGTGGATGCCCGGCCTCTTCATGAGCACACCTGGCCCGGTTATCAGGGGCAGCGCCGGCAGCCCGAGCAATGGCCCTCGTTCTAGAGGGATCCCTGCCGAAGATGGGGGCTGATGGTGACGGTGGGGGTGGCCCCGAAGGAGGTGGAGGCGGAGGAGATCTCGTCGAGCTGACGGTGCGAACATCACGAGGAGGAGAACCTCTAGGAGTCCTTCCCTGGGTTAAGGGATTAGTGTCTCCAGATTTTTCCCATGATCCCGTCCCGGCGGTTGAGGCAGCGCCAGCATTTGAAGATCCGTAGGCATCGGGAGGTTGTTCCCTTATCTCAGCGATCTGCATGTTGATCTCATTGACCCTCAGCACAAGCTTCATAAACTGCTCTTGCATGTTCCTCGGATTGGGCCCTAAGCTTTTGTCATGAAGGTCCTTGACGCACCTAGCAACACGGGACAATTGAAGCTTGAACTCCTCCTGTTTCTGTGAGTTCTCATTGAGGGCTCCGGACACCCTATCACTGAACTGCTTCAGGTCGGTCGCAGGAACGAGATGCTGAATATACGTCTCGACGTTCCCACGGATGGTTCTTTCCCTTGATATGGTTCCCTCAATGTCGATGACACTGCGAGAGTTCGCCTCAACTTCGTCTTTGATTTTCCGAACTTCAGCCTCAAGAGCTCCGATCTCAGAGAACCTAAGGAGCTGGACCTTGACGTTCTCAAGTGATTCGGCCTGCTCGCGAAGTCCAGCAGCAGATGTGACGATCGAGTCAGATCTCTCATCATACATCTTGAAACGCTCATTCGTCTCCTTCTCGCTTCGGGCGACCCACTCGTGGAAATCACGGAACCTAGCCTCGTGTTTTGAGAGAGTTCCAGCAACGGCAGAGAAAGATGATTCAACCTTCTTCTCGAAGGCGTCAACACGGTTATTGATCTTCTTGATCTCACCGACGCAAGCGTTGATATCATCCCTACATGAACGAATCTCAGTTCTGCACCCCTGGATTTCGGCCTTGCACCCCTTGACCTCGTTGTGGATCGCGAGAAGCAGTCGTTGAAGCTCAGATGCAACAGGATGGCCGCCACTTGTGGAGGCAGACGGAGCAGGACGGCTATCAGCGTCATGATCTCCGCGACTATTTTCTTCCCTGTCAGGAGTGCAGCCAGGAGTTCCGATTTGAAAGAATGCGGGAACGAGGGAGTCGTTAACCGGTTGATTCGAAGGAAGCCCTCCATATCCAGGGGCAACAGCGCTAAGTCCAGGCCTCCGGTTCCTAGGCGTAGAGTTAATCCCGTCATCAGTCTCCTTCTCGGACATCGGGGCATTGGAGCTGAGCCCAGACCCCGCAGAGTGGATAGGAACGTCAATAGGGTCGTGATGAGCTGGGGGATTAGATCGCAGTCGGAGAGCAGCTTCACGTCTCTCGGGTGACTCAGAGCTCCTCTTTGTGGCTCGTGAGTCAGTGCCGGTTTGTCCCGACACATTATCAAATGATGATGATCCGCGAAGTTGAGCTTGATCTGGATTAGGCTGAGTAAGATCAAGCCGTTGAGCAACGTCACCATTGAGTGGCTTAGGGGAAAGTACTTTGGCAACGCGGCTCGGCGGGAGCGATGTAGTTCGTCTCTCTGGTGTGACCTCGGCCTCATCGATTACATCAAGGATCCCAGGAATGGTTTCATCATCTTCATTTCCTCTCCTGGGTGGCTGATGGAAGGGGATGTCGAGGAGGTCAAATGGAGTGGAGCCAATACCAGGTGTATCCTGCTCGGATCCATCGCTGGTACGGTGGCTGGACTGCTCCTCGAGGTCGATGACGTCGGGGGCGGACTCTTTTCGAGTCTGACGCCGATTGAACGCCGCGAAGAGACCGGCATGGCTTCTTGACGAAGAGGAGGAAGGATTTGGGCCTGCTGTTTCGCGGCCCACATCCGATCGACTAGTACCTGATGTCCGATTTGGCGGATTTGAGCCCGCGTTGTAGCGGTTCGCATCCCGACCTCGGGTACCTGAGGAAAGCGGTGGATTCGGACCAGCGTTGTAGCGGTCCGCATTCCGGTCACGGGTACCTGACAGGTGAGATGATACTGCATCAGGGATGAAGTCCATATCCGCCGGACTGGGGTGATCGTGAATGATGTCGACGTCGGATGAACCTGAGACGGGAGGAGGGCCAGCTATTTGCGGCCAACCCTCAATCGCCCGTTTGCCCACCTCGGGTTGGGCCGAACCTGCAACATGAGAAGGGGAGAAATCTTCAATGGGGTCATTTTCTCCATCATGAGGAAAACCCTGAGTAGGCTCATGCGACGGCAAAACATCAAAGGATCTGTCAATTCGGGAAGGCTGAGACCTCCAATCAGCATCACAAAGGGATTGAAAATCCAGATTCCCAACCGAAACGGGGGCACCCGAGTTAAAGTCGAGCCGACCGAAATCAGGCGGTGTAGCCTGCGATCCACTGCCGAGGAGTTGGTCAAACTGATCCCATGTAAGGGACCATGATTGAGCCGGCTCCGGATGAGCAGCATGATGGATAGCCCGGTCCTCGATCTGGAGCGCCACGAACGGAACAGTAGGCGAAATCGATGAGGGCACCTGATTTGGAGGAACCTCAGCCTCTTCTAGAGGGGGTCCGTCCTCGATCTGGAGCACTGCCGCCGGGATAGGGGCCTCCGCATCCTCATCAAACACAACCTGAGAAAGGATCCAATCGTCCGTGATCACCCCGGGATTGGGCTCTGCGCCCACCATCGGGGGGATGGGCCACAGCCGGCTGTCTAAGCCGGAAGCAGCAGGCGCGGCATTGCCGCGAAGGGCGTTGGCCTCGTCGTCCACGAAGCCCGGCCCACGATGAGAAGCTCCGGGGGACGCCATTGCTCGTACAAGTAGGCGATGGGAGCAGGTAGCGGGTCACGTCCCGCAACCGGATCACCAGCCCCAGCTTCTAGCTGGTACGGCTGATAACCTGCGGTTTTGGGCGGAAAGGGCGTTGCCCAGGGAATCAAAAAGGGTTCACGTAATCCACGAAGAACCCAAAGAACCCGGACTCACGACTCAGTGGACTGAAGCCGGTGACCAGGTTGAAGGACGTGATGATTGAGGAAGAGGTGGTGGAAGTGAAGGTTAAACAGCAAGTTGCAAAAGATCACCTTAACCAGGCCCAGGCAAGTCCTGCCGCAGCACCACCTACCTCCTAGCACCAGCCCACCCCAGCGCCGAGAGTCCTTTCTCGGCGACGCAGCGAGATGCCGTGCTATGGCGAGTGCCGTGCTACCAAAACTAACCTGACGGGAGGTTAAACTTGAGCCAAACGGCCATTCGGCCGCTTTGCCACATGATGAAACAACACGTGAACAAAACACAGCAAAAAATGGGAAGGTACGAGGTGTGAGGCACCTGGAAATCCTCCCGGTCATCGCAGGTCTTCTGAAACTTTAGCCTCACGGGGGCAACGATCCGCGTCGCGGTGAGTCTCGCCGAGCGCGCCCGGCGGCGTTGACCATCTCCATGAAAGTCTCCACGTCGAAGCCCTCGTTTTGCCAAGGCCATGCCAAATGCCAAGGCCATGCCAAGGCAATCGAAGCACATCGAGAACATCGACAAGGCTTGCAAAAGCATCCATTTAGCTGGGTTTGGCCTCCAGGTCCATGTCACCGGAGTTGTCATATTTAGCTCGCTTGTTCTCATCAGAAAGCACGGTGAAGGCCTCCCCGAAACGAAACCACAAAGGCGCAAAGCCACAAATCAAAAAAATGAACCACTTAATTTGTCGAACTCCCAACATTTCTTAAGATGTCCCAACTGTCAAATCACTCCTCGGCCACCTTCTGAAACTTGAGCTTCGCATCTGGATCGTCGGGATTCTTGTCTGGGTGAAACCTGGTTCACTGCCCAAGTTGAACTTGCATACGCCGTTACATCTCGGGCCTTAAGGAGCGCTTGCGGTACGCGCGTTTGATGTCATCTGCTTTGGCGCTGCGTGACACTCCGAGAATCCTGAAGTGCACAAGGTCAAAAGCAAGGCAGGAAAACTCAAGCACCATCGTCAGAGTGCCCCATAGTGCCCCTGCAAGAGTATGTAGACAAGGCGAAATGGTCTCCCTGACATTGACTAGCCTTTGCGTTGCAACAGTTCAACAGACATCCCGTGTCCTGTACAAATCAGTTTCTGACAGCAGGTCGATATCCTCACCCTCTGTATCACGGCCACCCGAGCGGAAAAGGCCTGGCCGGCCGGGGCTTCTCTCCTGATCTACCCAACGCACGGATCTGGCGGATCTGGCGGATCTGGATCTGATCTCTATCGGCCTTGGAGCAAATCGAAGTAGGCCTGCGCGGCGAACCTGGCGAAGCAAGCGATGCTCCAATGCCCAGTCCTGTCGTAAGCCGGGTCGGCGCAAAGCGAGCATCCACAGTCTGTCGGCCTCAGATCAAGTCTCAGCGCAGCGCACATTTTACTTCACAAGTAACTCACAAGTAACTCATAATTGAATTCATATGAATTCATGACTGACTCATAACATCTCATAACATCTCATAACATCTCATAACATCTCATAACATCTCATAACTAACTCGGGTGCCCAACACAGTGGGCAGCGCCCCGAGGGGTTCGAGAGCTCTGTGCCAGGGGCTGCCTCAGCTCTCCGTTGGAGCAAATGCTTCGACTGCACGCTGCGGTCCTCGTCAACGGAAAGTCGGCGAGAGCGGAACGCCGGCTTCTCCTCTGGGTTGTACAAGACTACCTGGGCAATACACGCAGGCAGCAAACAAACCGCTTGAAAGCCATGAAAAAACAGAGGCTGGTGGCATTCCGGTCATGGTAGAGCACCTGGCTGAAGACTTTCACCCCGGAAAACTCACTCCGTGCTCTGGGTGCTGTGCCATGCGCCAGTCGCTTGACGCCGGCGCTTGCTCTCCTGGCTCCGAAAAGAAGGACCGTCGCGAGTCAAAAAAAGAGCCGGATCCTGCCGCCTCGGAGTCAGCCAAGGCCCGCAGAACTGGGGAAACAGCTCCGAAACAAGCCGATTTTGTCTAAGTCAAGTTCGTGAGACTGCACCAATCTGCACCTGGTGGGCCACGCGGCCGCTTCGAGGGCAGGCCTTGACTTCCGACTTCCGACTTCCGACTTCCAGGGCGCGGCTGAGGCCAGTGCTTGGGGAGTCCCCGAAGGGCGTGCAGTGCAGGGAGTCCATCCTTGCCAAGGCCATGCCCAGGCCCGTGATCCCACCCTGCGCAGCAACACCCCAATTCCTCTCTGCCAGCAACTCCGCCGGACGCTTCGCGGTTGCCTAGGATTGAACTGGGCTCCGAAATCTGCGCAAAGGCTCATCGGCCTCGTTGGGCTGCCCAACATCTGTCATCACGGGGCCATTGCCACGTTGACCATATAAGTAAAGCCTAGTAAAGCCGCAAAACAGTGGCTTCGAGTCCTATAAGAAAAGGTCGAATCACGCGGTTGCCTCCTGTTCGACGGCTTGGCCTAGCGACCAACTTCCTCAATTGGTTTCGAAGCTCCAAGATGCAAGCTGGGGCTCTGCTCGATAAGCGCAATCCCGTATAAGCCAACAACTTCCCGGGCGGGAGCCCAATGTCAAGTGTAAAACACGCGCAGAAACAAGTCAACCACAACCCGAACGCAAACTAAGCTCTCAAAGCTACCGTGAAGCGTCTATCTGTGTGTCTCTTCCTATCCATTGCCTGCCTGTTGACCTGTTGATTTGTCCATTCGTGCATCCACCTATTCATCCATGCCTCTCCCTGCGCATCTATTTTTCTGCGTTTGTCTAACTATCCAGACGCTTTTGCATCTACGCATTTTGCATCTACCCACCTACCCGCCTATCAATGTGTTTGTCTATCTATCCAGACATCTGTGCATTTGTTCTATCCGCCTAGCCATCCATCCACATTCGTCTACCTACTTGTGCATCGATACTCCTATGTTGTCGCTTTCTTCTTTTTCTCTATGTATGTTTGCTTTCGTTTCCCCTTCCTTTCTGCTTGTTCTTTGTCTTCCTTGTCTTTTGTTTTCTCTACTTTCTTCCCTTCTTTCTCCCTTTCTGTCTTCCCTTCTTTCTTCCTTTCTTTCTCCTGCCTTCCCTCCCTATTTCTCTCTCTATCCCGTTAGAATCAAACTGACAAACGCGACGAGCGCAAGCGCTGTTGTAGTTCCAACTGACAATCAAACCTGTAGTCTGCAACCCGTCTTTTTTCCGATGTGCTCTCATGTAATATGGATTGAGCTCAAGGCAGTAGCGCGCAACACGCTCAACACAAGATGCGGTTGCTGCGGCCTGACGCGGCCTCTCGGCGCGGGTGGCCCTTGGCCGGGTAGGCCGGCACGCGTACCTGTAGTTGTTGAAGTGTCGCGGGCTGTAGTAGGCGAGCCATGTCTCTTTGTGAGCAAGTGGCTCCCGTAGAGCTCGGTTGTCGTTAGTACGCGTCTTCCAGCTGTTGATGGTGTCATCAGTTGAAGGCGTTGGTAAGTTGAAGAGTTGAAGCGTTTGGCTAACTCTATAGTAAAATACTAGTTGGCAGTAGTGTGTAGTTGCTCACAGAGTAGCCCAAATGATCCTCTCGAGGCGGTTACTGGACGTAGCGGTTAGGGAGTAGCACCGTCAGTCGTCCATGCCAGCACGCAACATGGGGCAATTGCAGGGCTGCGTAGAATCTGTAGTCTGGTGTAGATGGCCTCGTGAAGTATCCTGGCGAGAACTGTGACCGCGGTGTAATTAGTGTCCATGAAGGCAAATTATCAAGTGTAGTTGGTTCGTCGTTGCCTGCGGCGAGGAAGCAGAAGTCCTCCAGCGCGCAACGGCTCACGGTTTGCCAGGGCGGTTGGCCAGGCGACTTGTCACGCGCAGCAAGCTCAACCTATGCGCACACACACACACAGACCCCCCACAGCAGGCAAAAGCATTGCTACACGACAAGGCGCTAGCACGCGAACAAGGCACAGTGACCTCAAATTTCGCTGCGCCGTATTGCTCAGACTCTGCTGACTTAGAGCTGTGGTAGCTTGTGTTCTGCTGCCGAACGCAACTGTTGCGCCAAGGAAGTGGATGTTGAAGCCTGGAATCGATTCGCGGTAACAGGGCATTCTGTCCAATCAGCATTGTACGTAGACGTCGAGGTCCAAGATGTTGTTGGTGATTGCCTTTAGCGTCGTTGCTGGTTCTACGACGAACTTGTAGAGTTGAAGCCGCGCAGGTAACGCAGTACATTGCAGCTAACCTTTTGTGTCAGGTCCTGTGTAGGCTCGCTACCGTAGTTTACCAACGTGTTGCTCGTGGTCGAGGAGCGCCTCATCTTCCAGTGTTGGTTCGTAGCGGGCAAGCCCGGGAGTTGCTACTGGATTGCAGTTGGTCATTCCAGTTTCCTCTATCCCGCTTCTGACGTTGGAATCTGAATCAACAGCGCAGCGGTGGCTGGAGTGCGCTATGTTTTTGTTTTCGCAGGAATTGTTGTGGCTTGCCTGGCTCAAGGTAACCAGTGCGTTAAAGTAGCACTTGATTTTTGGTCTTGCCGCCATCGCCAAGCACCAACAGACCGTCCACGTAGACGACGGTGTAGTTGGCGTAGGCGTTTGGATCTGAATTGCGTCTTACACAGCCGAGCTCTTGCAGCACCTCAGCCAGGAAGTCTTGCCAAGCTTGAGGTGAACTTCATAGCCAATACGTGGCTTTCTTTAATCGCCACACTGTGCTTTGTTGCGGGCACCAGGTGGCCAGATGTAGGTTTCACGTTGGACGGGGGCCTCGTGCTCTGTCGTCTCGGTGAATCGTGCGCCTGGCCCCCTCTTACACCGGGCCCCCTTGTGCGGTGGACCCATCATGTAGGGATCGCTTCTTTCAGCACGTCGTCGTCACGCGCAGAAGCGCTGTAGACGTCATGTAGATTCAGTCCTTGTTTCGAAGCAAGGAACGTTCGCTGCGTATCTGGCGGAGAGATCATGAACGGGGTCAGTGAGGAGACTGCGCGCTGAATGGAAGCCCAGACCTTGGCGGCTTTGTTGGCGCGGGATGCGGATGAGCTGTTGCCCGAAAGTCAGCCGCGCGGCGACCGCTGCGTCGAGGCGGCGTTGTTGGTTGGAGTTTGTGGGCGTTGGAACGGTTGCTGGACGTGATGCATCCCATCTGGGGCACCGAGAGCGTTTGCCACGCCAGCGCCCGGGTCCTCGAGGACGCAAGGTGAAGGCATCTTGCTAGCCTTGAAGCCTGAGCCGGGCTGAAGGTTGGCGCCAGTGGAATGGTCGGGCAAGTCCCCTTGCTCCGTTCCAGGCAACGTGCCCAAGGCTGTGGTAGCAAATGTTGCCTGCGCCCCCCCAAGAAAACATCCGAGTGTGGGTACGTATGGATTCCGGACAAGTGCCCGGGCATGGCACCCTCGAAACATTGTAGCCAGGGCCCGCACCTGTCCCGCGGCTGTTGGCAGAGTACGAAGGCAGGTGCAAGAAAAAGTCATGTTTGCCGCATAGCAAGCAGTATTCGGTGAACACATCACGCACGCATGCGCAGGCATCGTATGGAGCTCTTTCGCTAAGAGCTGCTACTTTTAACACAGGTGTTCATCTTAACATTGAAAGGGTGTCTACACCTATCTACTAGTTTATTGTTGGGACTGCCCCCCTCCTCGACTCCCGATGATTTCTCCGGCTCTAATTCTGGCTCAACTGCGCAGCGCCGAGAAACTGTTGGTAGCGATCCTCGTAACGGTATCATGAATGACGCAACTGTTATCTGTCAAACGGACTTGTAAGCGCTCATTTTTTTCAGTCTTAAGCCATCTTCCCGAGGTATGTTGCTTGGTGCAACAACTTGCAACGGCAACTCATCGCGCCCTGTTAAGCGTGAACTATTTACATGGTGGGAATAGAGACAAACCCGGTGAAGCGTTGCGCCGTATGCCCATCAGCAGTCCACCTTGGGTGATGACATGATGCGACTGCTCAGCTGCAAAACTTGGCGCAAGCGTCCAGTGACTAAGATGGATTCTCAGTCAGGCCGAGCATGGGCAAGCACCGGTCCTGCAACGGCCCGGCAAAGCAGATTCATGCTTGGATCTCTCTCGAGTCAAAAGCAATGTCCAGCCTCTCAAAGTGTTTCGGATTAAGTCCGCCTGAGACACCCATGCGACAGCGGCATAGCGACCGAGCTCCAGCCTGTTGACTCGAGGGCATGGTCCTCTCTGCGATCTGCAGCGCCTTCTTCAGGGCGGCTTCCTCGGGCGCTAGGGGGGCGCTTCGGGCGCTTCCGCTTCCGCTTCCGCTTCCGGGGGCGCGGCAGCGGCCGGCAACTGCCCCAGGTTCGCCCGGCACAGGCCCAGGTTGTACAGAGTCAGCGCCACCTCGCGACGCTGCGCGGTGCGCGGTTCGCTCTCGCCCGAGTGAGCCCAAGCATGTCAGCCCAAGGCGGCTGCGAAAGGCGTGTCGGTGCGCAAGGACTCTGACAACAGCTCGAGCGCCTCGCACGATGGACTGAGTGAGAGCCGCAAAGGCCACTCCAGATACGACCCGCGCTTCCGATGGTTTGCAGCACAGGGTTAAAAGATGTTAAAAGGCTCACATTTCTCGCTGCAAAACAGGCATATGATGGCATATGATGGCATGTGGCAACTTTCAAGGCATCGCGGCCCGCATTCAGGCAGCTCCGATTGATCACGAAAATTACGATGTCTCATTTCAGTTGCCTTCTCGCAACGGCATACCTCTTGCAACCGTGACATCCGTCCGTGCCAAGCTGGCTGCGTGCGGCGCATGTCATTGCACTCTGAGTCTTTGCTTCCGACACTCTGGACTCTGGTTCGGGCCAAGTCCTCTGACATGCCAGTCTCAGGCATCGTGTGCGATATGGGTTCATATCCGGTTGCCTGTTCCACGTCCTTCGAGACTGGAGAATGGTCTGCGAAACTCTCAAATACGAAGCGCAGTCACATTGACGACGCATAGAAGCAGAAGCAATAGAAGCAATAGAAGCAATAGAAGCAAGCAACAGCTGTAACAGCTTCTAGCGAGACTCGGCGTCGAGTCAGATATGAGTCGGTTCACTTTGAACTCATAGGACTCCATGCAATCCGGGCGAAGGCCCGTGCCTGCTCGAAATGCTCTGCCGCCTTCTGGAAAGATCCGCGGTGGTAGTAGATGTTCCCCAAATTATTTAGGCCTCAGTCCGTAGAAGCAAAGCAAAGCAGTCTGTGGACTCAGGCAGGAGCATTCTGCCACACTGGAGTGGTTCTTTCCCACAATGTCCTCGGAAAGCACACGATGTCCGTGTCGGGCGTGGCTAGCAATACGGAGGGCCACTTGCGAAATTCAGAGCCTTGTGGCACAACCGTCCTTGCGGAGCTGCAAAGCTTCCTGGTGCTGCGCCAAAGCTTCCTCAGGCTGCCTCAGGGCTCAAAACAGAGCATAGCAAGTTGCATAGCAAGTTGCATAGTACCAAAACCGTGAAGTCGTGAAGTCGTGAAGTCGTGAAGTCGTGAAGTCGTGAAGTGTCGGGCCGCTCTCACGGCTCACTCCGAACTCAGCACAGATCCCTGCATCGTTGAATGCCACACCCAAGCTACTGCAGACCTCAGAACCGTCGCACGCTTGCGAGAGCTTGTGCACTTGTGCCTGAACGCGACAGGCACCTCGGACTTCAGGAAGCGCGCGTAGATCAGCGCCTCTCACGTCTGTCGAAACTTTCAACTTGCGTCGGCCTGTCGGCCTTTTGAAATTTTGCTTGGACCGTCGTTGGACCCGTCTCGCCTTGGACGCCCTTTCAGAGTCTCTTGTCCCGACTGCTTCCTCAAGTCACTCGACTCACACTCACACATTGCGCGGTCACACATTGCAGCGAAGTCCGAGATTACCTACCTACGGCGGCCAGCACTGATCAACTCTCGCGGGTTTGCACGCACGTCGCCACAAAAACCTTCAACAAATCAACGTGGGCCCAATTGGCCAACATCCAGCAACCAATTAACATTAGTCGTCCCACTGCCGGCATGCGATCGACATACAAGGACGCTGGCTGTGAGATTCCAATTTCAAGGGGTCTACCTGCGAGCATTGTGCTTTGGCTTCAGTTTCCTTTCAAAAACTCTGAGTGTCGTCCCACGTCGTGCCACATTGACCTGGGCACCCCGCATCCAAGAGTCCAAGCGCACGCTCGTACAGGGCAATGGCCTGGAGCCAGAGCAGCCAGAGATGAGCTTTTGGTCCGACTATTTGAAGTGCTTTCAATGATTTCCGTGTCCAGTTTCTTCCTCTCGCTCTCTTCCTCTCAGGTCTGTCGCGTCTCCTGTGCTGTGTCGCCCAACTGGTGATTCTGCCTCCCGACCTTGGCCGAGCCGAGTTTCTCCGATCTCCGCTTTCCTCGGGCCTCATGCAAGTTCTTGGCAAGGCCCATCCCGATGCCAGACTTTCTGATGGCATTCTCCTGATTTTGAATCGGTATGGCTGGATTGCATGGAAGGATTCGCCCAATGGACCTGCAAAACTCAAGAGAGATTGAAATCAAAGAGCGCCTCCGATTGGTACTGCATCTCTTGCAGCTGGACAGACTCCTCGTTTCCCAAAATCGCTTGAAGCTTTCTGAAATCTTTGGCACCTGGAGATATGCGATGCCCGTCGCTGCTCGGCCGACATCCGCGCCCATGGTCTCGAACTTGCCAAGGTCTCAATGCGACGTGGACGTGCAAGACGTGCAAGTCGTAAGTCGAGCGCCCGAGGTCTGGGCTGATGTAGCTGTTGGTGGTCGACCTGCGAATTGGGCAGCCGCATGGGCCTTGCTTAAGGGAATGCTTGCGGCTTCTCCCGCTTTGCCTTTGAAAACAGGTCTGTTTCAATATATGCACGGCCTGCACTGTTTGCGCTGGCTGCGAAGTTTACGTTGCCTGCGCTGCGTACTCTGCCTGTGTTAGGTCGACCCTGCGCCTGCAGTGAGACACGCAAGCGGGGTAACTATAAGATGTAGTCGGATACCGTCGCATGTGTGAACGGTGGCGCAAACTGCAGACCGCTGGAAAGAAAGGCACGCTTGCGGCAGCAGTTCACGGATTGCGTTCCAAAGTGTTTCTGGGCTTGAAACTGCCCCCCAGCACGGGACGTGATTCGCATGACTGCTTGCGCAATAGTTTCGTCAGATGTCAAACGGCAATGGAGCTCACCCGTCTCGAAGTTGGGTCCATGCAAAGCTTGGGACTCCCTCCCATGGCAGCCCACCAAAGCGCAATGCTGGGAATGTTAAACAAAAAATAGTAACCCCCCCTCATAGAACTCATAGAACTCATAGCCCACTGAAACGGAGGAAAGTTCGGACATGCGCCTGTGCCGGGCTCGAGCTCGGGCCTGCGGTTCGCGCACGAGACGCGTATCCGCGCTTGCCCGAATTGCCTGGTGTGCCAGCATGCGAAAAGCCATGGCCATGACATCAAAATATTGCGGGGCCAAAGCTATCCCGCCCGCCCGCTGGATATGCAATTGCTGCTCTCTGATTCCCTGCGCGAGTTCCCTCAATCTGGAGCTGAAAAGACTATGGCTTAGCCTCACAAACAAACAGACGCAAAAAGAAAAAGAAAAAGAAAAACAGAAACGGAAAGAGACACAGCAAGAAGCAGAAGACGCAGAAACCACTCGAAACAGAAACCGAAACAGACCCTTTCGCTGCTCTTGCTCCAAAACCAGAGTCGCGGGCCCCCGCGAAACAGGACTAACCTCTGTCGGTCACCTTGGCTCGGCACGCCGGTTCTGAGCACCGAAGGCCGCAAACGAAACCGGGCAAACGCCGTCCGCTCGAGGGGCAAAACGGGGGGCAACGAAACAGGCAACGAAACGGGCAACACGCGCATGACCCCTTTCACGAATGACTTGTGTTCTGGACATCCGAAGCCCGGCTCGCAAGGAATCGAACTTTCTTCTTTTATTTAGCTCTGCACAATCGTTGTGTGTTGCTGTCAGCTGCAGGTCTTCTAGCAGCAAAATATTGCTCAAGTGCCATCGGGGATTTGTGATCGGTGCAAAGACGTAGCACATGTCTTGCGGGTTCAACATGCCGGTTTGCAGCCAAAACTTTTCCACAAAGCACTTGACACTCTTTTGGACGACGTCCGAATCTTCAGTGTTGGGACCAAAGAGTCCGTCACCATGAACACACATCAACATCATGCTTCTTGAATTTCTCCAGCATTCATCTCAGATTGGAGACCGAATCTCACACCATCGTTAGCCACGAGTCGTGTCCATCGGCGATCCCTCGATTGGGCGAGCCAAAGGCTCTGGACACCTTGTTCAAAGAAAACAAGTCATCGTCCTGCGAACACTTGCATGGGTTGAATAACCATCAAACACAAATACCGTTGCACCGAGCTCAAACGCCCCAGAGCTTCAACCTGACCGGTCTCTCGACTCTTCTCTCTCTCGACTCTTCCAAATTCCCCGTGCAAAGCATCGGCACGAGCAACCAGCCCTTAAGGAGAAAGAGAAAGTAGCGCAAGCCATGACGAGAATAGACTTCGGGCTTCGTCTCCGGTGCTTTGCAGGGAGCACATAGCGAGTTGCCCAAAGGTAACTACAAGTGGAAATGCATGGAATGCGCTCGAGCTCAAATCCACAGAATTGGGAAGAACTGGAAAGTAGCAAGCCATGTCTTGCAAAATGTTGAGCAAACGCCAGATTCTCTCAGACTTCATGTGACTTACGTTGGCCATCTCGGCCGCACCCAACAAAGCGGTGCCCTTTCGAGTGTCCCAAGCAGTGTTTGGGCAAGCTGAGTAACTCAGGGCTTTCACCATCGCCCGAAGAGTCTTGAGGCTTGAGCAAAGCATTTTTCAACTTTCCGATGCGAAGCATTTCGAAAGCTCACATGCAACTCGCTTTGCATTGTCGCTTGCAACTTGCGTCAAAGGCTGTGCTCCATATGGGATCTATGTGAGTGACTTCGGCGGTGTGCTTGGTGCGACCCTTACCTGCAAACTTCACCCAGCCTGTACGTGCTGCGTCTCACTTGCAGCCAGTGAAATCGAAAATTTGCTGTTTCCAGAGAAATGCCTCGTGCAGAATCAAACAATTGACATATATTAAATGTGCTTAAGGCTTCCAAGGCCTCTCGGCCAAAAAACAATGAAGTTCATCTCAGTTCCGCAGAGGCCACTCACACCGGTAGCCGCCGTTGGTCGTTGATCAAACTGAGCGACAGCCCGAAGCTCTTGAAGTCTTGGAGACTGCAACCGAGTGTGGCACTTGCAAAGTGATGAAAGCGGCCACATGTTCAGAACTGTCGCTGCGCCTCATGCAAGCGCAATTCCGATATCCGATGCTTGTGAATTGGCACTTCAAGTTGCACTTCTGAAAGCTTCACACAATCAGGACGGCACCAGGCACTGTCATTTTCAGCGAGGCCAGCACATTCGGGAGGAATGCAGCAAAAAGCTTCCAAATGCCATACCTGGGCCCGCCAAACCAACACGCACAACCAGGTGACCAAGTCTTAGTCGAATCAGGCCCAGGCATCTCCGTGAGGAATCCGACGAATGGCCAGCCCACAATGATGATGGCAATGCCCACGAAGTATCTCGCGCGTTCAAGTCACTCAAGTCACTCAAGACACTCAACTCAAAGCCGCGTGAGATGCGCACCCGGTGGTGCCCTTCCACTTCTCCTTCCGGAAGAAGAACTTGAAGGCCTGAGAGCGCACGCGTTGCCTTGCAAGCATTGCGAGCCCGACGCTCCGAGCTCCGAGAGTGCCTTGGTAGGGCCCAGCAGCAGGGCCAGCCCGAAAAGGAAGGCGACATTCCTGGCGTTTTTCTCACGAAACGATTCTCTCGCCAGATCTCCTGTTTGCTTGGCCGGCGTGCCCGAGAGCAAGAAGCGTGCGGTCGAAGAGCAGAAAGACACCCAGCGTGACGCAAAGCACGCCAATACCGCAAAGACCTCATGTGAGTCATGCCGGCATTGTGACACCGCAAAAGATCTGCCTATTTCATGTTATTTCATGTTTCCCTGGCACTCGGGTCTTTTGCATGCGGATCGGTGTCCCAAGCCAAGCACAGACGGGCGGGCTGTCGCAACTGATCTTGCTTCAAGCTTCCTGTCCCGCTGTAGCCACCCCAGGCTGAACACACCCTAGCGACTTCGGAAAGTCAAAGTGCCCTACACATGAATTTATCCGGTGAAACTGAAACTCGTGCCGTCTGTCTGGCGCTGGCACAGACCTCAGCTAAGCATTTTCCTGGTTGTGATCCGGCGCATGTTCCAAGGCGCGATCGATGTAACGCGGAGAGTTGCCTGGAGCCATCTGGAGCCCAAAGCTGGCCCAAAGAGCCCAAGGCCCTCCCGAACGTAGCCTTCGCTGGAGATGTCCCTGAGCCACCTCGCGAAGTGCGACACCAATCGCACCAATCGCACCAATCGCACCACTCCCTTTCCGAGCTGCCGAGCGCCCCAGGCCCCCAGGCCCCCAGGCCCCCAGGCCCCCAGGCCCCCAGGCCCCCAGGCCCCCAGGCCTGTTGAAGCTCTCCTGAGCTGTGAGTGTCGATGCAAAGAGAAGAAAGAAGAAGGAACGAGCGAAAGCGGGGAAGGAAAGAAACAAGCACACAAGCACACAAGCACGAAAAGGAAAAGGACACTGAAGGAGAGAAAGGAAAAAGAAGAGGAGAAAAAGATCTGAAACTGAAAAGAAACTTGCAGATCGAGTGGAAGCGTAAGACGTGCGACTCGAAGGCGTCCTGCACGATGCCAACCACAGCTTCAGGACCTGAGGCCTCGAGGAAGGCCTTGCGGCGGACGTAAAAGAGAAAAGAGAAAAGAGAAGAGAAGGAAGTCGGAAGGAAGTAGGAAGGAAGTAGGAAGGTGAGAGAAGAAGAAGATGGAAAAAGAGAAAGGAGAAAGGAGAAAGGAGCGGACCCCTGGCGCCGCGTGCGGCGGCCGCTTCAGCTGCCTGGTGCGACTCGAAGGCAAGAGAACGCACCGTCCGTCCGCCCGGCCTGCCAAGCTGGCTCGCCTGAGACACCTGACATGGGCTATGAGGCTGGCGCCGCGCCAAACGGCGCCAGATAAATCCAACTCCTTGGCCAATGCCTGAAAAGCGCGGGATGGCACTGGCATGGGCTCGTCCACATAGGCCTTGGCTCAACCCCTTGACTCACACTCGCTCGCTCGCTTGCTCGCTCTCTGGGCTCCTGGCGGGGGCCATCTGCGACCTGGCGAACCCGCGAAGGCAGCCAGACAAGCGCATTGGGTGCGCCTCCGCGGAGGGGTCTGCGGCGCATCCTCATGGTGCATCTGGAAACGAACAAAAACCCAAAAGCTCCAGCCTGGGCAAAGCCGTACATCCCAGCCATGGCGGCCGATGCAAATGGACCCTGTGAGGTTTCCCTGCGTTTGTTTTGTCCCTTCTTGGCTTTAAGCGAGTGGCCTGGCTCCATGTTTGCGTGACCAACTTTTTCTGGCAACTTCTCTCTGGAAAGCTGCGGGCGCACAGCAAGCGCCTCTGGCTTCAACTTCACAGCATTTTCCTCACAGCCAAATGATTGCTCAGCCGGGCTCCAGGCCAATTCCAATTTTCTTGTTATCGTCCAGCATCGTCCAAACTCCAGGTCCAGAACCACGCGAAAGCGTCAGTCCGGCTCGGACACCTCAGGATTGACTTGATGGCCTCAGAGAAACGCGTGTAACAAACATGCAACGGGCTGCATAATGCAGGTGGGAAAAAGAGAACAAAGGCTCCGGATTGAATTCACCTGCACCGATAAGCGAGATTTCCCAAATCGAGTTTGGCAACTCCTGGCAGCTCGGAAGCTTAGGCTCCCACCCTGTTGCACAGCAAAAGGACAAAAATTGAGCCGAACTGGCCGAGATATTTCAGCCAAAACATGCCATAAGTTTTCTTCGCACGCGTTACCACGACCGCCTCGCGGGGGTGAGGGGGTCCCGCTTCACATTTCTTTTTTTGACCTACCCCCTCCCCCTGTGGCAAGGAAGAATGCGTATAATGCGACCGAGCGAGTGTGGCTCATTTTGTGGCCCGGTCTTGTGTGTCGGACACTTGGGTCACTTGGGGGGGTCGGGCCGGTCGCACTTCTCGGACACTTGGGTCACAGTTGGGTCACTTAGGTCGCTTGACCAGACGGCCAAGATGAAAATGATGATGAACATGCAAAAAAAACGCAAGTCGCCGCTGCAGGTGTTGTTGATGCTGATGGGGATATCCAGCCCACATGAATTTGGGAATGGTATATAGGGGGGACCCCGCAAAATAACAGCAAGCGCTAAGCTCCCGCAGACCTCATCATTTGTTAACTCGCCACGCCACGCCAGCATATAATCAATCCACATACCAAAATTCATACACAATCTACATAAAATGCTCAATCTACCTCGCAACAGTTCTTGATATGTTTCTTCTTACATTTAAAACATCTAAACCACTGCACACCATTTGTAATTTCCTTTTCATGTGGCCGTTCCAGTTTTTCACCATTCAAACTTTTCTGGAAGAAATATTCATGGTTGAAAGATTTCTCGTGTTGAGACTTCTTCTCTCTCTTGATGTCATAATCACACAATTCACAGTGATACACTTTTTGCATGTTTGCTTGTATTGTTGCCTTCCCTTTCTCGCTTTCCCTATATTGTTTCTTCCTTTTCCTTAATGTCATCCGCATTCTCTTCTTCATATTTTGTCTGTATCCTTTCACCTTTTCAGGGTTATTTAACTTCCATCACTTTCTCGTTTCATCTCTCTCAATCTGTATTATGTTCTCGGCAGTAATCACAAATATAAACCCTGACATGGAATAAATCAGAAGAATATGTATTTCCACAACGCCTACAAGTTTTCATATCTTCCCTCATCCTCTACCATAGTAAGGCATCATCCTGTTCTGCCGAGTTCGTGAGGTTTCACGACCAAATATCTATCAAGGTTTGCGGTAAGCAACCTGTCCCGAAAAAAACCACCAAACAACAAACCACACAAAAAACCAAACAACAAACCACACAACAGACAACTGCGTAACACTAACCAGTAACTCACCAATCCACTCACTCGGTTTTTTCAAAAATCTTCCTGCGTGTGCTTTGCATAATTTTCACACCATGTTTCTCGCTTTCCACTTGGTGCCCGCGACAATTGAAGCGGTTGTGCCAGTATGAGGGCTCATCTGCCAAAGCCGACGCTTTGCTCATCAAAGCCGATGTTTTGCTCATCAAAGCCAATGGTTTGCTCATCGGGGCGGCAGTGTTGTCCTTCAATTACGGACATGTCCAATAGTCAAAACAAAATACAAAATTCAGTTCGTTTTAAAGATAATTTTTAACTATCTTGACAATGAATGTGTTTTGTTGTGTTAGAAATTTCTTTCATGGTTAATCTGAAACCAAATGATTGTATGCCAAAACAGAAAAAACACCGGCTTAAGTTTTGAATGCCATTCTTCAAATATTTGACTGTTTCGCTCAACACTTTGTTAATCTTGCTTTCATTTATAGTTTCATAATTATCACCAAGGGTTGAACACCTGCCTTCTTCATATTCTCGTTCATTATTCCTTACTCTTATGTATAAAATACATCTAATTTGACTTGAACATCGGTTTCATATTCTACTTCTTCATAGATTAAACTTAATAATTCATCCCTTTGTTTGCTGATACTACTTTCAACGCTGTCCATTCCAAGTGGCACTCTTCTCTCAAATCATATTCTCTTTTAACTTATTTCTGTGTCCTTCCATTTACTTGTGTATTTGTGTATTGTTGCTTTGTTATGGCATTGTATACTTCTTCTTACATATTCTTGTTGTCCAAATTTGTAGGACATAACATTGCTCAACATTTCAACAGGTAATTTGTTCATAGTCTCCATCATCTCACTAATCTATATACATATAGGTATTATTTCTTTAAACCCTTTTTGTCTAAAACTATATTCTTAACATCTCGTGACGTAATAGAGGTTTCGGAAAGTCACTCACATGATAATACTTCTGACCCAATTAACTATTCTATGTTGGCTAGTGTATGAATTGTTTTTGTCCAGCGGCTTGTCCGCTCCTTTTCACTAATCGCTTTCTTCCTCATTATCTTAACCTTGTCCCCTACATCTACATCAGGATACACACGGTTTTTCTGGCATTCATTGACATATTCAGTTTGACTTCAAACTCTTTTTTCAGCTTCTTTACTTCTATCGGTGTCATTTTAGTAACGGAACTTACCAATTTAATATTGTATGTCAATACTATTTCGAAATTATAGTCTACCCATTGTAAATTCTCTTTGCCTCTTTTTTCATCCGCTTCATCCGCTTCAACCCTTTTGAAAAGCATGTCTTCTTATGTTCGTAATTCTTTCTCCACAAGCAGGATGTCCTCTCGTGGTGTGTAATTCAATTTTCCTCATCAAGATAATCTGCAATGACAGAACTAAAGAAACTTCCCTCTTCATCACTGTAGATCATTTTGGGTTTCCATCCATTTTCTTGATGCCTTCCATCAATCCTGCTAATACATTTGGCGGTTGCTTAATAGGTAATACAGTAGCATATTTACTCAATATATCAATTAATATTAATCCAATTCAAAACTTTTGATTTTCGAAATCATGTATCATCAAACATATCCGTTTGAAACCCCCAAAAAACATGAGGAGCAACAAAACTATTTTGTCCTCGCATTCTTCTTTTCTCATCAACATTCTTTTTGAAGAACTCATTAACATCGTCCGCAGTAGTAGTTTTGTCTTTCTGTCTGGCATCTTGTAGTGTTACTGCTTTACTGCCACAACCGCTTTTGTCATAATGAATATATATAAACATCACTAATGATTTTTTGTTTATCCATAGAATAAGTTAATAATTTATTATATTGAGAATAAAAGTTATAACTTAAGTTCAGGATAATCATTTAATTGGTGACTATTAATTGTTGATACATCCTACCCCTTTCAATCGTCATGGTCAACAAAATATTTGTATCTCTCACTGCATTTTTAACATTAAACTTTTTGATTTCAATGTATGACTTGGTGTCTTCTTTTACATTACTGCCATTTATTTTACTATAACACAAAGACCATAACATGTAGTCAATCGTTTCCTAATTCTTACTAATGCTTAGAAACTGTCTGACATAATCATAAGTTTGCGTTTCATAAACAAATAGAAATAATATAATATCGTCTTCAACATTTCTTTCACACAATCTTTTAATGTTCAATTGACACTTGACTAGTTCTTGATACAATTTTTACATTCGCCCCCTTTATCCATTGAATAGTCAATTTTATGAACTACTCCACTTGGTAAATTCAATTTATATCATTCCATACTTTCTCTTCTGAAATGGCACCAGTCACAGCATTTTTTGTTAATATTATTGTTTACTTCGTGTTTCTTCATTCCTCCGTACCATATATATATATATATAGGTATCGTTCCTTTAAACATTTTTTGTCTAAAACTACATATTGAATTAAGATGTAAAATGTAGTAAATCTTACTTAGTCCAACTGTTCAAGTTGTTCTTGTTGTTGCTCTTCTTGTTGCTTTAACCAGTCTTGGTGGTTTTGCGAGATTTCGTGTCTATTGAAATGATGTGGTGTATATTGCTTTCCACATCCACATACTTTTGGTTCAAACAATTTGCCTTTCAATTTCAGGTATTTCTTATGCTGTTGTTCCTTGACTTTGTCAAGGTGTAACTCATTGAAAATTGCCCGTTGGAATGCTATGTGTTCATGTTCTTCTTCACGGTATTCCTTCGGTGTTCTACCTAACTGCTTCTTATTGATACATTCATTGTTCCTTATATACGAACCTTTGCATTTCAACAGTTCTTCCCTTGAATTACAGGCGCAACCCTCTACCAATTCTATTTTACAATTCTCAATGCCAAATTCATCAAACAATTCAAAGACTTGTATTTTCCATACTTACCTTGTAAGTGCCTTTCGTATGAATAACGGTGTCTTGCCATTCTTTGACTTAAACTTTCACAAGTGCTTCCATAATAGATTTTACTGTAACTCACATCTGCTATTAAGTAAACCTTCCCATCTTGATACTTATTATCTATCGCCATATATCTTAAACTATCCTTTCTTTAAGCCCAGTTTTAAGTATATCTATAAAATCTAACTCTGTTCAAATCAGTAGCCCTCGTCAAACTAACGTAAAGCCACTCTCTACTTACAAAGGTTGATTCCAATCATATACAATAATATCGTCATCAACGCTACACCCTTGACAAGAATGAGCAATATAACAATGACCATGAATAAATCTGTCCCTCAATATGCTTATTGGTATGCTTTGTTCTTCTAATGTTTTAGAATTTTGTAAA